TGCACCCCAATGTTCATCGCAGCACTGTTTATAATAGCCAGGACATGGAAGCAACCTAGATGCCCATCAGCAGACCAATGGATGAGGAAGCTGTGGTACATATACACCATGGAATATTACTCAGCCATTAAAAAGAATTCATTTGAATCAGTTCTAATGAGATGGATGAAACTGGAGCCCATTATACAGAGCGAAGTAAGCCAGAAAGATAAAGACCATTACAGTATACTAACACATATATATGGAATTTAGAAAGATGGTAACAATAACCCTATATGCAAAACAGAAGAAGAGACTCAGATGTATAGAACAGACTTGTGGACTCTGGGAGAAGGCGAGGGTGGGATGTTTCAAGAGAACAGCATCGAAACATGTATATTATCTAGGGTGAAACAGATCACCAGCCCAGGTTGGGTGCATGAGACAAGTGCTCGGGCCTGGTGCACTGGGAAGACCCAGAGGGATCGGGTGGAGAGGGAGGTGGGAGGGGGGACCGGGATGGGGAATACATGTAAATCCATGGCTAATTCATTTCAATGTATGACAAAAACCACTGCAATGATGTAAAGTAATTAGCCTCCAACTAATAAAAATAAATGGAAAATAAATAAATAAATAAAAAGAACTTGAAAAAAAATATGTTATTTACATATATATATATGTATATATATACATATACACACACATGGAAATTACCATGGTGGCTCAGATGGTAAAGAATCCACCTGCAATTTCTGGATTGATGAGTTCGATCCCTTGGTTGGGCAGATCCCCTGTAGGAGGGCATGGCAACCCACTCCAGTATTCTTGCTAGGAAAAATCCCACAGAGAGGAGCCTGGTGGGTTACAGTCCATAGGGTCACAAACAGTCGGACATGACTGAACGACTAAGCACAACACATATATACACATACATATTCTGATGCTGTTGGTGGAGTATTCTGTTGCTATGTGTTAAGTCTGATTGGTTTATAGCATGGTTCAAGTTTTCTATTTCCTTACCGATCTTCTGTCTAGTTGTTCGAACCATTATTGAAAGTATCCAACTTTCAATAATTTGGAAGTATTTTTTATAGTATTTGAAGTATTTTGAATAGTATTTTTCAAACAGTATTTGAAGTATCCAACTATTACTGTTGAATTATCTATTTCTCTTTTCGATTAGTGTTTGCTCCATATATCTGGGTGTTCTGTTGTTAGGAGTGTATGTGTTTATAATTGTTATATCTTCTTGTTGAATTTACCCTTTTATCATTAAAAAATCTAATTAAACATAATTATAAAATATCCCTCCTTATCTCTGCTTTTTTATTTTAAATCTATCTGGTATGATAGCAGTGAGTAGGGCATGGCAACCTAATCCAGTATTCTTGCCTGGAGAATCCCCATGAACAGAGGAGCCTGGCGGGCAACAGTCCATGGGGTTGCAAAGAGGTGGACATGACTGAGCGACTAAGCATACACATGGTATCAGTATAGTCACTGTTACTTTCATATCTTTGAATGACGTATCTTTTCCCATTCTTTTACTTCCAATCTATTTGTATATCTGAGTCTAAAGAGGTATATCATCTATAGACAGCATAAAGTTAAGTCATTTTTAATACAGTCTAACAATCTCTGCCTTTTGATTGGTTTGTTGAATCCATTCACATTTAATGTTATTAATATTATTGATATAGTTGAGTTTACATCCTCCACGTTACTTTTTGTTTTCTGTATGTCCATGTCATTTTAGTTCCTCTATTCCTCCTTTACTATGCTATTCTGCATTAGATGAATCAGACCAATGTCACAGCAAGAGCTTCAAAGAGCTAACTCTTTTTAATTCAGATACAAAATCACCTCTCCAACAATTTTTAGGTTCTTAAACGGTTCACTTTCTAATCAATCCTGATTTTTCGCTCTGGTTCCAGTAAACAGGAGCAAATCAATTATTCACCCAATAGTCATGGAACACCAACTACAATAATGTCCATTACCGGCTTCCTGGGGTGGAGAATTTGAGGCTGCGATGTGACCTTCCCACACAGAGGAGGGATAGAGCCATTCACAACATTTTGAGGATCATATTCATGACATGTGACGATGAGAAGTGTCGTAACAGCTCAGTGCTTCAGACCAAGGTGAAAAAGGACGGTTCCATGGGTATTTTCAAGTGTTATGGCATTCCTTTCACAGACACCTGGCACAGATGCTAACAAAGATCTAATGAGTAAGAGACTTTTCTATAGCTGCTACAATGAACAGGTAAGACACCACAAAATGATCAGCTTACATGTCTGCCTGGGAGTGTTAACACCCCTCCCCACCAATCTCCTTGTCACTCGACCTCTTAGTTTACCTACAAAGCCCTCTGTTCCAGAAAGCAAAACTACAATCCAGGAGTTTGTAAATAATGAAGTCCAAAATTTACAATTCATGTTGTAAACACCTGAGGTTTGGGGCACCCAGAACTCCTCCCTCATTTTCTAGCATGGGGCACGCCCGATTTCCGATATCCTCTCCAGCTACAGGACTTGTTCCCTTATTTTTGGTATGAAGTGTCTTGCATCCATCTTGCTAGTGGTAAAGAACCCACTTGCCAGTGCAGAAAACATAATGACATATGAGTTCCATCCCTGGGTCAGGAAGATCCCCTTGAGGAGGGCACGGCAAGCCACTCTAGTATTCTTGCCCGGAGAATCCCATGGACAGCTATAGTCCATAGGGTCACTAAGAGTCGGGATACAACTGAATGGACTTAGCATGCATGCATGAACGTCTTGCATGCGTCTTTAGCCATGTCTATAGAAAACTCAGGGGATCTGTAATGCTCAAGCCCTTATAAATTGGACTCGTCCTGGGTATCTGGAAAATTTCCAGGGAGAGACAGATCATGTAAGTAAAACACCCACTTGCCCAATAGTTTAAACAGATTAGGCAGAATCCGGGGGGCATCCGGGCCTTTGTTCAAAATAAGGTGTCTGGTGGGCAAAAGAACCTCTTCTGGCCCTGATCCTGAAAGGCTCCAAGACTTGCCACAGAAACTCAATTGCTGCCAGGCTTAATGAGCTCACTTGCCCAGCTGCCCTGGCCCAGGAAGCAGCCCTGCCAATTTCCAAAGAGAGATGTGCCTTCCAGAGCAAGTTCTGAGGTGCAGCTTTGGAGAAATGGAAAAATCAGACCACTTTAACAAGAAGTATGACCTGTGAACACAAGAACATGGTTTGGATTCTGAAGAACAGCTTTCCAACTTTTTTTTTCTGCCCTAAAATAAAAACAGGCTGCACTGTAAGGCAGTGAAACCCCCCTGTGCATAAAGAAAACTTTATTAAGTTACATAGAAGCTTTGCTCAAGAAGAAAATGGCAACCCACTCCAGTATTCCTGTCTAGGAATTCCCATGGACAGAAGAGCCTGGCAGGCTACAGTCCATGGGGTCACAATGAGTAGGACATAACTTAGAGACTAAAAAACAACAATAGAAGCTTCACAACTGTCATCTCGGGACTGATGGAACCACCAGGGGTGTTTCAACCACAAGTACTGAGGCATCCAAGTTTTGGAGAGTTGATGTCACTAGAGGTGGCCGCTGCCAAGGAAGGAGTGGGGCTTATTAAGGGCAGAATGGACTCGATGCAAACAACAGAGAGAAGAACCAACAGCATGCAGATAAGGTCCTCCCAACACTGACATTATAGGCAGATGAAACATACTCATTTTTCATTTCCTGGCTCAGAAGTGAAGGCAAATCAGTCATAATACTATCAACACCAAACACTGAGGCTAAAGGCCAAAAGCTATTGACCACCCACTGTGGCCCGACCCTGTGCCAGGCTGTGGGAGGCCCCCTGTGGACCAGGCAGCATCTCCACTTCCTGGAACCTTCTGTCTAACAGAAAAGTCAGGCAAGTCACTGGCAGCTAGAATACAGAGCCCTGGGGACACATGCGACGTAGTCTGCAAATGTGGAAGTGTTGTCAAGGAAGGTTTTCTGGAGGAAATAAGGCTGATGATGGACTCTCAGCCCATGCAGAGGATGTTCACCAAGTGAAAGGGGCAGAGAAGGCTAATGGGCAGATCTGCCAGAGGGAACAGCATGTGCAAAGGCCGGACTCACTCAGGAACGGCAGGCAGATGGTATGGCTAGACGCATGCTCCGGTGAAGACCTGGGAGGACAGAGGCAGGGGCAGGCCATGACACCCTGGGCAGAGCAGGAGGAAGCCTCTTTAGTCTGCTCCTTTGCCTCCAGGCTCTTCCTGTCTTAATCCAGCCCCACTGACTTCATTCACTGTGTCTTCACTTGTAGATCAAGCTGATAGGTCCCTCCTGGGGCCCCACCATCCAAGCTGGGCTTTGGAGCCTGCAGGGTTTCACAAGTTGGGGTCGGTGAGGGAGGTGTTGCAGGCAGAGGGAGCTGGCAAGCAAGGGTCTGGGAGGAGGGACAGTGCTTAGGAGACAGGTACCATTCACTGGTGGAGATACGGGAATTGAGTTGGAAGCAGGCCATGGGGGCCTTGAACGGAGGTGAAGGTGGCAGCACTCTTTGCAGGAGTAATCAGCAACTGTCAGAGTAGCCAGAGATCTGACCCCCACCACCGCCCCCACCACCACTGCGACTTCTACGTGGGCAACCTCAGGTAAGTCACTCGTTCTCCAGCAGTAAGTGCAGCCCAATGAGGGCTGGACAGGAAGACTGGCTGTCGCCCACAATAACCCATTTCCACTTACACGTGAGCAAGGCCCACCTCTAAGCCCCCACCCAGCAGGTGCACAAGATCAGGCACCTGCTGGCAGGTGTGTGTGTGTGGAAGATGAGAATGTCCCTGACCCATGAAAAACCGGGACGAAGCCTCCTCTGGCATCTCTCCACGTGAAGCACACGCACCCCTGGAAAGGGTCCATGTGTGACCCTCACCCCAAACGCCAGAGCTCCCAATGGTGAAGTGATTTGTCTCCTTCGTGGCTTCTGGCAAGATCGAAAGGAGCCCTCCCAACTCTGGCAGAAAGCAGAGAAGATGCGGTCTCCAGCAGAGAAGGTAACACCAGAAGACAGCCTTGCCATGCCCACAGCATCAGTGGCCCTCATCCAATCAGCGCTGCCCACGGGGCAGCGCTGCCCACGAGATGCTCAGGAGAGATCTCTGTGTTCCACGGTGAGTGAAAGTTGCTCGGTCCTGTCCGACTCTTTGCGACCCCATGGACTATACGCTCCATGGAATTCTCCAGGCCAGGATACTGGAGTGGGTAGCCTTTCCCTTCTCCAGGGGATCATCCCAACCCAGGGATCAAACCCAGGTCTCCCGCACTGCAGGGGGCTTCTTTCCCAGCTGAGCCACAGGGAGGCCCGTGTTCCAGGGGGCCCTATGAACTGCAAATTCTTCACAGGACATAAAAATGCTGGTGCAGTTATATGCAGAGGGATTAAAAAGGCCAGAGCCGCTGAGTGGAGGCGACTCTGAGTAGAGTGGCCCAATGTTCCAGAGCTCTCAGGTCATCCCAAAGTGTTCATCTTGGCTGCCAGTTATGCAGAGCTTATCCTGCTTCAGGCTGTAGGTGGATCCACCCCAGCTCTCCTCACAGTTCAGTTCAGTTGCTCAGTCGTGTCCGACTCTTTGCAGCCCCATGGACTGCAGCACGCCAGGCCTCCCTGTCCATCACCAACTCCCGGAGTTTACCCAACTCATGTCCATTGAGTCAGTGATGCCATCCAACCATCTCATCCTCTGTCATCCCCTTCTCTTGCCTTCAATCTTTCCCAGCACCAGGGTCTTTTCAAATGAGTCAGTTCTTCCCATCAGGTGGCCAAAGTATTGAAGTTTCAGCCCTGATCGCTCAGAGCTAGAGACCCAGCCCTCTTCACTCTATCACTGTTGGTCAGGTATCCTTACTTATACCCTTCAGAGAACAGGCACAGTCTTAGTGGCGGGGTTTGTGTTTTATTTGGGTCTCTTCTCTCTCAGACTGAAAGTTGCCATGGACAGGGACCTAGCCACTCGTGTTCATGGGGCCATAGTCCCTTTCAGGGGCACACAGGAGGCCCTCAAATGTGCACTGTCATTCTTTGTCATCAGAGTGAGCTTCTTGTTTACACAGGAGCAAACTGAAGCATGGAAAAAATGTGACTCACTTGTCCAGGGCCACACACTTCACAAAGGCAAAGCCACCAACCTCTGGAGCAGCACTGTCCCCCAAGATTACAATGGGAACCCCACATGCAATTTTAAACTTTCTAGTAGCCACATTAAAAAATGTAAACATAAACAAGTGACACTAATTTTAATAATACATTTCATGTAGCAAATATATCCAAAATGGTTCTGTTGTAATAAGTAATCAGTGTTCAAGTTATTACTGAGATCTTTCTCATTCTCTTTTTCCTACAAAGTCTTTGAAATTCAGAGTATGTTTTCCACTCTCCAGGGCACGCGAGCATATGACTTAGGAGACTCATTCACAATTATTATGAGCACTACTTTTGGAACCACCACCAGCAGCAGCGCTAACTAACATCTGCTGTACACCGACAGGCTCTGGGCCGTCTGCACGTTTTATTTCTGACCTCCACTCTAACCCCAAGGGCTTGGGACATAGGACTTTTCTCCATACTGAACAGAAGAAAAAGGTGAAGCTCGGAAAGATTAAGAAACAGGCTCAAGATCACCAAGCTAGCAAGGTGAAGTTAAGAAATTAACTCACATCTGACTCCAAGCAGTAACACTTATTTCCTGGGCCCCTACCGCATGCCTACATCCTGCGCTGGGAGACAGAAAACATGCCAGATGAGGTTCCTGCCCTCAAAGTGCTTTCGGTCTAGCTTATGAGGAACAGGGCTATGATCACAAATGGGGAAACAAACCCACTTCAGATCTTGATGTCAGAAGCAACAGGGGGATGAAGGGGACAGTAACAGTGGAGGGGGCAGATGGGCATCTCCCAGGGAAGGGCAGGGAAGACCTCTCCAAAGGGGGCAATTTAAGCTGACATGAAGGGTGAGAAGAAGCCAGTTCTGGAGAGGGCAGGAGATGAAGAGGCCAGGAAGCAAGGGGCAGACCCAACTGCAAAGCATCTGGCACATTCCAGGAACACAGAGAAAGGTGGCTGGGCTCCCTGTGCAGTGCCAGCTGCCTCTCTGGGCCACTTGGGTGCCCCGTGCCAGCCCTCCTGCCTCTGGGTACTCCCACACTCTGGCTTGGAAAATGAGACATCAATAAACCGTTCTCCAGATGTCAAGAGCAAGTCAAGGCTGGAGGTCCCCAGCGCAGAGCTGGGCATGGAGGACACATCTACAGCTAACTGATGAGTGTCCGAACAGATGAATCAGTGAGTAATGGGAAGAGAGTGGTAAACACCAGAACAGAACCTTGGCAGCCAAGGCCCCAGGAAGAAAGTTTTTTAACACTTTAAGCCAGGCTTCAAACAGTCTGCACAACAGCCAAAAGGTGAAAACCACCTAAGTGTCCATCTGGAAACAATGAATGGGTCACAAAATGTGGTCCATCGGAACATTACTCAGCCTTAAAAAGGACTGAAGTACGGATGCATGCTATGACCTGGATGAATCTTGAGGGCATTATGCTGAGTGAAAGAAGCCAGACACAAAAGGCCACACACTATCTATGAGTCTGTATATATGAAATTCCACAATAGGGGAATCAGACAGACAGAAGGCCAGTGGGTGATTGCCAAAGGCTGCAGGAGGGGAGGGGTTTTCCTTGGGGGTTATGAAAGTGTTTTTAAACCCACAGAGGTGTTGGCTGTACAACACTGTGAATATATTAATGCTAAATGCCACTGACTTGTATATTTTAACATGGCTAATCTTGAAGTCCAGCTCAGCTTTAAAAAGGAGAGGGGAAAGGAGGAAAAAAAGAATTGTTTCGACTGAAGAGTCAGGTGGTGATTCTGTTAAATAAAATAAAACCCCATGTCTCAGAAAGCAGGCAGGAGTGATCAGCCTCCAGAAGTACCAGAATAGAAATGGAAAAGAGAGAAGATGGACTTTCCAAAGCTAAAAGAAGCAGAAAGCGACTTTACCGGATCACTCTCGCCTCCAATATTTGTTGCTGTTCAGTTGCTCAGTTGTGTCCGACGCTTCGCGACCCCATGGACAGCAGCACGCCTCCACTGCAGATGCCTGTAATCCTCAGGGTCTGTCCTGCAAGGGAAGCAGGACACTCCTGGCGGTGTGCCCCACTCCCCCCAGCCCTGAGGAAGGGACCAGGGGCCAATCCAGGGCTCCTGTATCAAAATGCAGCCGAGATGGAGGCTCGGGGGCCAGCAGGCCGAGCCAGCGCATCCCCTGACCTGGCACACACAAGGGCATTACTGCCACGATGGGCGGCCCTTGGCAGCCCCGGGATGGCCGCAACAGAACCTCCTTTCATTCCCTAGAGTGGCCCTTCAGCCAAGTCTGGGCCACAGGGGAGAAAGGACAGCAGGAAACCTGCATCCACACAGCACACAGGTCCCCTGAGGTCTAGCTGGGGGCCTTAGGATGCACGATGGGTCCTGTGGATGATTCTAGGACCTGGAAAGGATAAAGGAAACACCACGAGCCACGCAGAGAGGACAGACTGACCTCACACCTGTTTCAGGTGTGGTTGTTCCAGGGACAGCATCATAGATACTATCCAGTGCATGAGGCTGGGCCTTCACCTCTGTTCTTTATTTCATCCTCGCACCCACATGGTCTGCAGGGACAGGGCCTGGGGCTATGCGCATTTCACAAATGAGGCCACTGAGCCCTAGAGGGTTCAAAGGGTACAGACGATCATCCACGGTCAGTATATTGCAGAGCCAGCATTCAATCCCAAGGCTTGCAGCAAAGCCTCTTGTGCTAAATTATAATGCTGCTGATGCTTGCTTTATTCTACAAAACTCCCACAAGGCAGGAGGGGGTCATGGTTAATAACGTGACCTGCCAGTTTGGGAAGACGGAAGAGTGCTGAAGATGGATGCTGATGGTGGTTACACAAGACTGTGAGGTATTCAATGCCACTGAACTATATGTACATATTTTAAACAAAGATATTTTAAGAAGTCATCAGGTACCGGGACATTAAGAAATTGTGGGATCGAAATTTTTTAAAATAGGTATCATACAGAGCCACATTCTCTGAACATGTGTAAGATTCAATTAGCAGCTAACAAAAAACATAAATTATCCCCCTCTTCAAAAAAAAAAAGAAAGGAACATGGGCTGCCAGTTTTGTGACCCTGGGTAGGCTTCAGAGCCTCTATGTGCCCACCAATAAAATGAGAAATGTAAACATCTTCCTCTGGGGTTGTGTCCAAGTGAAAATCACTCAGTCGTGTCTGACTCTGTGGTCCTATGGACTATACAGTCCATGGAATTCTCCAGGCCAGAATACTGGAGTGGGTAGCCTTTCCCTTCTCCAGGGCCTCTTCCCAACCCAGGGATCGAACCCGGGTCTCCTGTATTGCAGGCAGATTCTTTACCAGCTGAGCCACAAGGGAAGCCCAAGAATACTGGAATGGGTAGCCTGTGCCTTCTCCATTGGATTTTCCTGACCCAGGAATCGAACCAGGGTCTCCTACATTGCAGGCAGATACCTTACCAACTGAGCTATCAGGGAAGACCCTGGGGCTGTGTCCAGAACTGGATGAACTCAAACCAGGGAGACAGCACAGACCAGGGGCAGCAAACTTCTGCAAAGGGCCAGGTAGTAAATGTTTGACTTGACAGATGTCTGCCCCAACTGCCCAACTCTGCCAGTAAAGGGCAGAAGCAGCCACAGACGACAGGTACACAAACTGGCATGGCTGTGTGCCAATAAAACTTTATTTACAACGTCAAGAACCAGGTGGATGAGCCGGAGCTTGCGGATAGTCTGGGACTTGGTAAGTGCTCAGGCAATGTTAATAGTTACCGTTAAGGAAAACAGCATTTGTCTCAATTCACGTCCGTAGACCTCAGTGAGAGGAACGGTATTCCTTGTGGTTCTGAAAATAAATACTGTCACCAAAGACAAGAGCAGAGCCCCGCTGCCCACTAGGGAGCTGGCTCCTCCCTCACCCTGAGAACCCCAGTGCCCTCCCTCTGCCACCCCGTGCAGGCTAAATGGCATCAATCGTGTTTGACTCTTTGCAACTCTATGGACCATAGCCAGTCAGGCTCCTCTGTCCATGCAGTTCTCCAGACAGGAATACTGGAGGGGGTTGCCACGCCCTCCTCCAGGGGATCCTCCCAATCCAGGGATTCAACCCACCTCGTTTATGTCTCCTGCATTGGCAGGTAGGTTCTTTACCACTGGCGCCACCTGGGAAGCCCCGCTGCTGGGTACCAGCACGTTAATTATGCCCTGGTAATTAATCCCTCCTGGGCTATGCCCTGCAAGCGCTAGTGCCCCTTCCCACCCGCTACAGGCGAGCCTCCTGACCCCTGCCCTTCACACCATGAGGACCCCAGGACCCCCTTCCTGGTCCTTGCCCCTCACTGCTGACCCACAGTGCCTGGGCTGTCCCTCTGGCTTTGGAAAGGCATAAGACAAGAAAACATTTTCCAAAGGCATTGTGGGCTAGAGTGACAAGCCAAGGTCCCTCTGGTGGCCAGCCTGCAGGCCTTTTTCTGAGCCTCAGGCTACAGCAACACCAACAGCTACTACTGGCTTTAAGGTAACGTGTTTCTATTAAAAGCACTAAGAAGGCTCTTCTGATTGATTTCTCACACCAGTCCTGTAGGAAAGTTGTCTTTCCGTTACAGGAATCAGCGTGCTTCATGGAGCAACACCTACGCTCTGGAGGGAGACCATCCCCCACCTCCATCACTGCTTAGTTCTTTCAGCTCCATCTCCTGACACAGCCCCTGACAAAGGGGTTCACGCAATCCTGACCCTGCTGCCTGCCGCTGGGCAGTTTAAATTAAGATAATACATGGCAGGAGTGGGAGTTTAAGCAACCATAGAGAGCGGTTTTCCTTCAGGGAACATCACGAGAAAGGAACTGGGCACAGAGAGGTTAAGTGACTTGCCCAAGGTCACACAGCCAGTAGGAGCTGAGCTGGTTCTCAGGGCAGGTCCTTTAACTCAGCCCTGTTTCTTCACAACCCACCTCATCCAGCTGGTAGCCGCAGCCTACGACCACTATTTTCATTAAGGGTTTTCCCTAAAACAGGGAACCAACCAACAAGGACCTACTATACAGCACAGAGAACTAGGCTCAATACCTCGTAATAACCTAGAATGGAAAATAATCTGAAATATATATATAACTGAATCATGGTGCTGCACATCTGAAACTAACGTAACAATGTAAATCAACTGTATTTCAATAACTTTTTTTTAAAAAAAGAGTTTTCCTGAGAATTGGATGGAGATGACTATAACTGCTGCACTCCAGCAGTGAGCAGGAAAAAGTTCAGACAAAAGAGGCATCAGAGGATCTTCTCTGGGGCCAGTGGCCTCTGAGTTCAAGATTTCTGCACCATTGTCAGCACCTTCTCACACAAGTCTGCACAGTTGGAATGTCAACATGGCACCCATCCCCTTCATCTTTCATTCCTGTTTATTGAATATTTAGCTTATTGGCCTGATGATGTTAGCTTGGGAAGGACAAAGAGGGTGAGGGCCTCTAACCAGGGCATTTACTCTGTGACAAAGCTAAAGGGTTTATTTTTCCAAATCACGTATCACATATTCCTTCATCATCATATTGTGGCTGTTCAGTCACTAAGTCTTGTCCAACTCTTTGGGAGCGCATGGACAGCAGCATGCCAGGCCTCCCTGTCTCTCACCATCTCCCAGAGTTTGCCCAAGTTCATGTCCATTGAATTATCATCATGAACACTTATTTAAGTGCCTCAGATGCCCAGAAACCACACTTCTGATCCCCACACCAATTCAGCCAACGACAGACCACTGCCCTTATTTATACAGGAAATAGAGGCTCAGAGAGGTTAATCCTCTTGCCCAAGATCACACAGCTGTCAACAACAGGACACTGATGAGCGCAGCTTCAGGAGCCCTGCAGGTTGGTCCGACCACAGTGGGGAAGGAGGCAGAGAAAGAACCAGGATGCACCCCAGTCTCTTATGTCTCCTGCATTGGCAAGCGGGTCCTTTAACACTTAGAGAGAGAAACAAATCACAGCACGCAGGGGCAACTGCTGCTGGTTGATGCCGTCCTCAGAAACGGCTCTTTCTGCCGCTCATCTCCCAGCCCCAACGTGCTCTGTGCACTAAGAAATCAGGCTCCGAGGGCCTCCCTGGTGGCTTGGTGGTAAAGAATCCACCTGCCAACGCAGGAGACATGGGTTCGATCCCTGGCCCAGGAAGATTCCACATGCAGCGGAACAGCTAGGCCCGGGTGCTACAGCTATTGAGCCTATGCTCTTGAGCCCGGGAAGGAACCGCAACTACTGAAACAGAAGCACCCTAGAGCCTGTGCTCCACAAGAAGAGAAGCCACTACCACAAGAGGCCCGTGCACCGCACCTCGAGAGAGTCCCCACTCTCTTCAACTCGAGAAAAGCCCTCACAGCAATGCAGACCCAGCACAGCCAAAAATAAATTTATAAAGAAAAAAAAAAGGGCTCCATCCTGCCTCCTCCTCGTGAAGCCTCAGGTAGGGGAAGGGAGCTGTCATGCTCTCCCTCTGCGCATGTCTCTTATAGCGCTGACAGTACAGGTGCCTCCCCAGAAAGACAGAGCCCACCAAACAGATGCTGCCTCCAGATCTCACTGTGCCTCTCATCTCTGGTGGGCAAGGTCTTCTTAAGGAAAAATGACATAAATATTACACAATGTATGGATATAAGGTTCTGCGAGAGCTAAGTGTGTGTGAGTCGCTCAGTGGTGTCTGGCTCTTTACAACCCCAGGGACTGTAGTCAGCCAGGCTTTTCTGTCCATGAAGTTCTCCAGGCAAGAACACTGGAGTGGGTTGCCTTTCCCTTCTCCAGGGCATCTTCCCAACCCAGGGATCAAACCCAGGTCTCCTGCACTGCAGGCGGATTCTTTCATCGCCTGAGCCAGCAGAGAGACGTGAGAGATAAGAGAACCACACAACCTGAGCAGAATCGAGGAACACCACGAGAGCTGGGCCTTGTCATATGAATAGGAGTTCTCCAGACACACACAGTAGGGGAATCTCTTTGGAGAAAACACAGCCCGTGGGGAAACACTAAATGTGAAGACACACCAGGGGACACAGAGGAGGCGTGTGGGCCTGAGACAGTGTGGCAGGGAGAGAGAGAGGTGGCCCAGGCAAGCTGGGGTGGGAAGAACTTGTGAGGGGGTCATGGAGGAAGGGGGAGCTGTAGTTGGTTTGTGGAGGAGGAAAAATGGCAATGAATTCATTTGCTGGACCCACATTCTGACCCTTCTGAGGGGCTTCTCACTAGGATAAGACTCAGGGCAAGAGTGACTCCCCCCCCACCCCCCCTGCCACCGCAGACTCTTAACAGGGATGTTTAACATTACAAACCACATGCAGGAGTCTCAACAACAAAAGCTTTGCAATCATCCATTAGCCTCCATCGAGCTGTTCGAAACAAAAAGATTGCTCAGACCAGCGGGTCTCCAGGAGTTAACAAATGTCCTGCTGGACAAGCATCCTAGGGGCAGGAAGGGGGAGGGGGGGGGCTCCTAACCACCCCATCCCATCTCCAAATCTGCCCCTCCTCCTCATCCATTCTGGTTCATGGGAGAGCCACCCATCTGCCCAAGGCCCTGGAGAAGCCGGCCCCTTCTATAGCCTTGGCCCCCACCAGTGGGTCACCCTGAGATGGGAGGCGGGAAGCCCTTAGGCCTGATATTTACTCTGGGTGACTCCCCCTCTGAGGGGCTGAGGCTGCCTGCACCCCACTCCAGGACCCCTTACTCTGATCAGGGAGGCGGAGGCGATAGGATGGGACGGCAGCGTGTCTAGCCCTGTCATACAGGGACACTCAGGCGGGTGATGGGGCGGGGGGCGGGGGGGGGGTCGGCCCGCCAGGCTTTCCCTGCCTTGTAGTAGAAGGAGCTGTCCAATTGAAGGAGGGATGTTCCCGGAGAGGGAACAAGCAAAGGCCAAGGACAGTGTGCCTGTGAGTGTGCAAGAAAGGGGTGGGGGTGGCGGAGGAAGACCAGGGTTAGATACAGTATCTCTGGAGCTTACAGAGCTGGGCAGAGGCTGGCGCAGAGCCCAGGCCGCCCCAGACGTCCGGAGAAGGGCAGACCAAAGTGTGTGGGGAGGGGTGGTGCTGGCGGTGTGTACGCGGGAGGTGGGGGTGGAGGGTGGGTGGTGGCTGCTTTTAGGTAAAAAGCTCCAGGGTGGGAAGCAGCCTCTATCAGGGATGACAAGACCGGATCCTCAGGAGCCTGAAGCCAGGACGGTGGCGTGATGGAGCGATGGAGCGAAAGGGCCAGGGGGCGAAGGCGCGGTAGGCCCGAGAGGCCGCTGGCCTGAACGCAGGGCATCCGGCAAGGTGCCGGGCCCCGCGGGAGCCAATCCCTATGCGCCATCTCCGGAGGTCGAGTGCGCCCAGGGCGCGCCGGCCAGGCGGGAGGGTGGGTACCATCCTTTCTTCGCGTTTCTCCAGCCTCCTCCCCGGCGCCCACGTGGGCGGAGCAGCATGGGGGTGTGCAGTGCGTGGGGTGGGGCTGCCTCGCCCTCCCGGCCACCAGCCTCCAAGGCGCGGCCCCGGGGTTCCATCCTCTGGGTCATCTCTCCCGGCTGAGATCCGGGGGACCCAGACCTACTCAGTGGGTGGGACATCCAGGGAACCGGCCGACCACGCCCCCCCATCCCCCGCGCCACTCCCGGGAGGCACCCGGTGGGTCCCCATCCCCCTCCACAGATTGGGGGCGGAATGGGAAGAGGAGTGGAAATGGGGGTGGCGTGAGGAAGAGAGGCGGGGGAAGCGTCTGTAGGGAGGCGACGCAGAGTCCTCCGGACGGGATACGCCGCAGGGGGATTTGGAGGGGAGTGGGGGATGGGAACGAAAGGGTGGGGGACCTCGGAGGTGAAATGCGAAAGTCGCAGCGGTATCAAAGGGGGCGCGAAGGCTGAAGGAGGGGAGAGGCAGGTGGGTGATGGGGCGGGGCGGCACCGGTCACTGCCTCCCTTGCCACTGTGCCAGCCCCATCGATCGCGGGGTCCGCAGGTTCCCTTCGGCCAGCGCGCGCCTCCCGCCCCCCGGCGCACCTGTACCCACCTGCTCGGTGCTCAGGCCCGAGCCGGGCAGCAGCAGCAGCAGCGGGCGTAGCGAGCGCAGCCCCGCACCGCATCCTCCGGCCGCCCCCTCCCCGCCCTGAGCTTACGCTGCCACCGCCCCCGCCTTAAAAAGGACAAAACGGAACAGAAGAAGGATTCATGCAAAATTTAAAAAAAAAAATTGAAAGAAGCAAATGAGGAAGAGGGGCTAATGCGCGCGTGGCTCGGCTGGGCGAGGGGCGAGGTGCAGCGACGCCGGGTGACCGAGCTCCGGGCAGCCGGCCGGCGCGTGCCGCACACTCCCGGCTGCAGCTCGCTCCGCCGCCAGCCGCCCGGCTCGCAGCGCGGCCCCGCCCCTCACCTGGGGCGCCCCTCCGGTTGGCCCGTCTTCCTGCCAGTCAGAGGGGAGGCCCGGCGCTTGCCCCGCCCCAGCCTGGGGCCGTTGCCGGGAGCTGTTCTGCCGCCAGGAGCAGAGTTTCTTTTTTTTTTTTTTAATTAATTAATTTATTTATTTATTTATTTATTTTTATCACAACCATAGTGTATCTTTTTTTTTTTTTTTTCTACATGTATTCCCCATCCCGGTCCCCCCTCCCACCTCCCTCTCCACCCAATCCCTCTGGGTCTTCCCAGTGCACCAGGCCCGAGCACTTGTCTCATGCACCCAACCTGGGCTGGTGAACTGTTTCACCCTAGATAATATACGTGTTTCAATGCTGTTCTCTTGAAACATCCCACCCTCGCCTTCTCCCAGAGTCCACAAGTCTGTTCTATACATAGGAGTCTCTTTTTCTGTTTTGCACATAGGGTTATCGTTACCATCTTTCTAAATTCCATATATATGTGTTAGTATACTGTAATGGTCTTTATCTTTCTGGCTTACTTCGCTCTGTATAATGGGCTCCAGTTTCATCCATCTCATTAGAACTGATTCAAATGAATTCTTTTTAATGGCTGAGTAATATTCCATGGTGTATATGTACCACAGCTTCCTCATCCATTCGTCTGCTGATGGGCATCTAGGTTGCTTCCATGTCCTGGCTATTATAAACAGTGCTGCGATGAACATTGGGGTACACGTGTCTCTTTCAGATCTGGTTTCCTCGGTGTGTATGCCCAGAAGTGGGATTGCTGGGTCATATGGCAGTTCTATTTCCAGCTTTTTAAGAAATAGGAGCAGAGTTTCGAGGAGGCCTGAGTTTGCGCAGTGGACCCGGCTACTTGTGCCCCGGAGGGGCCGGGGTCCCGCTGCTGAGCTCCTCCAAGCTAGCAGCTCTGCTGACGGCTGAGTCGAAGGTGCTGTTGCAGGCAGACGGCTCCGCCTAGAGCTAATGGCCCCAGGAAACTCGTCCCTGCCCTCAGGGGGTTCACAGCCATTTTTGGAGGGGGTGTATATCACCTGGAACTGTGGCTGTCCGCCATCCAGGGTCTGGAAGACACAACAATCTGAAGAGATAGCAATCTGAAGGTCAGGGGTTAAAGGGAAATACTGACGGTGTCACAGCCAGCAGGTGGCACAAACTTCGCGACTAGGCAAAAGAGCCTCACCCAACAGTAGTAAAATGGACCATGTGATGTCCAGCTGAGGCTTGAAGGAAGGGTAGGATTTAGTTAGGCAAAGATTCATTCATCCGCTGTCGTTTTATCTCCTTTCATTTGATCTCCTTGCAGTCCAAGGGACTCTCAAGGGCCTTCTCCAGCACCACCATTTGAAAGCATTAGTTCTTCGGCTCTCAGCCTTCTTTATGGTTCAACTATCACATAATGTTACATATCTGAGAATCCACAGAGTGTGTGGGATGGGAAGGTGGGCAGAAGCCAGCACATGCAGGTTACAAGAAAGAATTTGTTTATCCTGAGACTATCTCACCAGGGAAGGTGGTCTGTAGGACCACTGTCAGATTTGTGCAAGTGTACACATCAGGATAAGCTGTGTGAAGCCCAAGTAACAAATGAACCCAAATATCACCATCTTGTTTCTTGCTCACATCCTACCTGAACCAGCAGGACGCTCTGCTGGCTCCAGTCAGTCAGGAGCCCAAGCTGAAACCGTGTACCATAACATTTTTGGCACTTTGAATGAAAGGTGGCAAATTTTACCAGCTTTTAAAGCTTCCACTTGGAAGAGACATATCACTTTGCCTTATGGCTCGTTGGCTAAAACAGGTCATCGGCCATGCCTGACTTGAATCAGGGTGGGAATTGCAGACCTCCCATGTTCCCAGTAGACCTGGAATGTCTGTGAACAGATCTAAGACTCTCATTAACAGATACTCTGGCTGTCTATGAATTTCAGACTGCAAAGGCAAGTGGAGATCAAAGAGGTGCGTGGGCGTAGCTTCCTGACAAGGGAAGAGGCGCATCAGAGAGGGTCAGGCAGTTCTTGGCAAGACTTACTCAATAATTGGTCAAGAGGCGCCCAGAGAGTGGAGGCACTGGGGATAGGTCTTGGTGTTATGCGTTGAATTGAGTTCCAAAAAAAGCAAACGTTGAGGTTCTAACTCCCAGTGTCTCAAAATGTGACCTTTTTTGGAAATAGAGTCATACAGATTCATTAGTTAAAATGAGGTTGTCCTGGACTTTCCTGGTTCTCCAGTGGTTTGGGAATCCATCTACCAGTTCAGGGTACACAGGTTCGATCCCCTGGTCCAAGAAGATTCTGCATGCCAAGGGGCAGTTGAACCTGTGTGCCACAACTGCTGAAGCCTGTACACTCTAGAATCTGTGCTCCACAAGAGAAGCCACTGCAGTGAGAAGCCTGTGCATCTGAACTAGGTAAAGAACCCATCTGCAGTGCAAGAGACTCCAGTTTGATTCCTGGGTCGGAAAGATCCCTGGAGAAGGGGTAGGCTGCCTACTCCAGTATTCTTGGGCTTCCCTGGGGGCTCAGCTGGTAAAGAATCCGCCTGCAATGCAGGAGACCTGGGTTCAATCCCCGAGTTGGGAAGATCCCCTGGAGACGGGAAAGAGTACTCACTTGAGTATTTTGGCCTGGAGAATTCCATGGTCCATATAGTCCTGGGGTTGCAGAGTCAGACACAACTGAGCGACTTTCACTTTCACTTTCCTGCTCACTGCAGCTAGAGAAAGCCCGTGCACAGCAGCAAAGACCTAGCACAGCCATACATAAATAAATAATAATTTTTTTTAATGTGGTTGTATTGAGGTGGGGTGGTCCTTAATCCAGTATGACTGGAGTCTTTATTAAAAGGAGATTTAGATGCAGAGACACACACAGGGAGAACCCTGTGTGAACGTGAAGGCAGAAAATGGGGTGATGCATCAGTATGCCAAGGAACACCAAAGATTGACAGCAAGTCCCCAGAAGCTAGGAGAAAGCCCTGGAATAGACCTTTCCCTGGCACCTCCAGAGGGTGCATGGCCATGCTGACACCTTGATCTCAGACTTCTAGCTTCCAGAACTGAAAAACAATCAATTTCTCTCGTTTAAGCCATTTAGTTTGGGGTACGTTGATACATGTATATTAATTAGGGGTTATGTTTGACTGTGAGTAATAAAATGCGGATATGCAGTGGCTTAAGCAAACTAAGTATTTTTTTCTCACTCAGGAAGAAACCCAAAGGTAAACCTCCCTGATTTTATCCTCTTTAACTCCTTCATCCTCAACACATACTTTTCTTTCTCAGAGTATCTTCATGATGGCAAGATGGCTGCCCTTCCCCCAACACTATTCCAGTCAAGACGAAAGGGAAGGGCAAAAGGCATACCTCAGCTGAGCTGGCTCCCTTTAACCACTTTCCTGGAAACTCTTCTCAGAGACTTCTATTCTTTTTTTTTAATTAATTTTTTAATTGAAGTATAATTGCTTTACAATGTTGTATTAGTCTCTGCTGTACAGTAAAGTGAATCAGTTATATGCATACATACATCCCTCCCTCTTGGACCTCCCTCCCACCCGTCCAATCCCACCCCCCTAGGTTATCACAGAGCCCCGAGCTGAGCTCCTTGCCCTGTATGGTAACGTCCCACTAGCTAGCTATTTCACACTTGTGTGTTAGTTGCTCAGTCATGTCCGACTCTCAGCGACCCCATGGACTCCCCGCCAAGGCTTCTCTGCAAGAGAAGGCAAGAGAATCTTGCCTTCTTCTCCAGGCAAGATTACTGGAGTGGGTTGCCATTTCCTCCTCCAGGGGATCGTCCGGACTCAGGGATTAAGCCCAGGTATCCTGCATTGCAGGCAGATGCTTTACTGTCTGAGCTACTGGGGAAGCCCAATGATGTCAATGCTACCCTGTCAATTCATCCTGCTCTCTCCTTCCTCACTGCGTCTACAGTCCATTCTCTGTGTCTGTGTCCCTACTCCTGTCCTGCAAATAGGGTCATCAGTAGCATTTTTCTAGATTCCATATATATGCAATAATATTCGATATTTGTTTTTCTCTTTCTGACTTGCTTCACTCTATAGGACAGACTCTAGGGTCATCCACATCACTACAATGCCCCCAGTTTCATTCCTTTTTATGGCTGAGTAATATTCCATTGTCTATATGATCTACCAGGTCGGTATCACATGGCCATCCCTGGCTTCTTGAAAATTAGAAAAAAAAAAAATTAAGGAGGGTTCATTGTTGCCTGAAGCAAAATCAGGGTTCCGTTGGTAAGGAATTGGCGAGAGGATTCTGAGTGGGCAGCTAGCAATGGTGGACCAGGTTTCATAGCACCTGGAGCTTTCACAAATTTGGAGGTGCTCTTTAAGAAAAAGAAATTTTTAAATTATATAACAAAACTAGGTACAAAAGTGAATATTTCTTTAGAATAAAAAACCAGAACAAATGTTTAAATGTTTTAAGTTGTCAGTTATCACATGCAATATAAAATCCAGGAAATAAGATAATAATTTTTTATAAATTTATTTATTTTTAATTGAGGATAATTGCTTTACATATCATGTTGCTCTCTGCCACACATCATCATGAATCAGCCATAGGTATACATATGTTCCCTTTTTCTTAAACCTCCTTCCCATCTCCCACCCCTTCCCAACCCTCTAGGTTGTTACAGAACCCTGATTTGAGTTCCCTGAGTCATATAGCAAATTCCCATTAGCTATCTGTTTTACATATGTTAGCATATGTTTCC